TACGACGAAACTACCAGGCCCGTGTTTTTCTCATTACGACGAAAGTACCAGGCCCGTGTTTTTCTCATTACGACGAAAGTACCAGGCCCGTGTTTTTCTCATTACGACGAATTAACTAGGAAATATATGAAACCCCAAAAATCAAATCCCTAAACCCCAAAGTTACTTCTTCTTCTTATTCTTATTATTCTTCTAAATGTTTCTAAACCCTAAACTTATTATATCAAATCCCTAAACCCAAAGTTACTTCTTCTTCTTATTCTTCTTCTTCTTCTAAATGTTTCTAAACCCTAAACTTATTATATCAAACAATATTTTTTAAACTTATTATATCAAACAATATTTTTTAAACTTATTATATCAAACAATATTTTTTAAACTTATTATATTAATACACATCGTGTACTGATATAAAAGAACAACATTTGATACATATTTTACAACATATGGTACATATTTTACATCATTCGGAATCATTCGCGTTCTCATCAACATCAGGAGAATCATCATCGCTTATACCTTCGAATTCATCTTCACATGTTTCATCCATCACATCGTCAGGAAGATCTTCGTATTGATGATTATGCTGATCAATAAGAAAGATTTCATCAGTTTCTTGATCAGGTACTTCTACTTGTGTGACACCCGCTTCTTCTTGCAAGGGTGGTTCTTCTCCAGCAATTATGCGTCCACGAGGTGTAATCTTGATAACAGCTAACCAAGTTGTTCCTGAATTTCTAAGGCGAGGGTATGGAATGAAGCTAACTTGCTCGGCTTGAGAAGCTAAGATGAAAGGTTCGAATTTGTTGTATCTTCTTGAAGAGTTGACAGCCACAACATCGAATTTGTTAAACCGAATACCCCTGTTCACGACAGGGTCGAACCACTCACATTTGAAGAGGACACATCTGAGCTTCAATAATCCCGCAAATTCCACTTCAATAATCTCCTGCAATATCCTATAGAAGTCTGTTTCGCCTTTCACACATATTCCGTAGTTACTAGTTGCCCGACGAATCCCATAGTCATATGTATGAAACGTAAAACCGCGTGTAAAATACATATGTGAAGTGGTGACTTTCGCTACTGTACCTCGGACCAAATCGTGAAACCATGGGGGGTAATATGGATCATCAGCTTCAACCTACAAAATTAATATGTTAACTATGTATATTAGCATTACTTACGTAATATTTGAGGTATATATATTACCTGAGATTTTAACCACGTGACATAGTGTTGATCTTTTCGTCGGTTTACTTCACTTGCAGATACTCCAGGTATTGCTGCTTCTACTTGTGTTACAAAGGAACTGCAAATTAAATTTATGTAATCACATCAATATATATATAACATCGCACTTCATATAATTTAAATTCACATTACTATTTACCTTTCAAATGAACGTGTCACTGAATGCTCGCAGTTGAGCAGAATATAAGTGTGGGCACTATGCTTATCCTCGTCACTAGACCACCATATTTCTCGAAATCTCCCACCAAACCGTCCAATTTGGCAGAAAATATAAGGAACATTGCTTACTGGATATGTGGGGATGACTCCACCATCATCATATCTTCTAGGAACTCTTTTTCTTGTACGTACTGTTGGTGCAAAGTAGTATGATGTGAAGTGAGATGTTTCCGCTGTCAAACTCCCCGCAATTATTGAACCTTCCACCTTTGCAAGATTTTTTGCTTTCCCCTTTAAATGTTTCATAGCGCGCTCATACGGATACATCCA